GAGGAGAGTTTTCCTCCTTCACCACATCCTTTGTTTGACTCGCACGGTAGTCAACGCTTCCTTGTGGAGCGCATTTTGAACCACCGTGACGATTTAGGATTAAAAGCCGACTTACCGCGTCCAGTGGCGGGGGTATCCACCCTCGTGGAACAGCTACGAGCCCCGCTCACAGCTGAAGGTGTATGTTCCCGGTCTCATCGATCTTACGACTGGACGCAACCTTTAATAACGGAATACCATCGTCGAGCGAACGTCCGGCGCGATCGTAAAGGTATTGAAAAGTCTCAATCCCTTGGTACATCTCGTACGATATGAGCGCCCTCCAGAAGTGCCGATCAAGGAGGAAGGTCTTCCTAGGGACGCGAATAGAGTTGTAAAAACAATTCTCTGCACAGAGAGGCAAGGTACACCTGCCTCTCGAGACAATCGGTGCAAGTTATACCGAGCACTGATTGGATACTTCTGTTTGGTTCTATTAAGAGCTGCGATACGTTTGTCTAGACAAGCGTCACGGCCAACATTTTCAGTGTTGCCGATAGGATAATTCCACGCCTGCGCCAAAGAAACTTCGTTTCAGTTGCGGTTGCAGTGGTACCATCGATGTCGGAAAGCAATCGATGAAATACTCATGATCAGCGCGATATTCACTCGCACTGACATCAAGACTATAAATTCTTGACGAATCGAAGAGGGGGATCCAATAACTCTTAGAGTTATAACCATAAAACGGCTTCAGATTGCGTTTGGAAGACATCCATGACATCTTTTCAGAAGCAGATCCTAACTCGTTACGATCATACTTTTCTGGCGTATTGCCAACCTAAGTAATTGCACTACGATCGCCGCAATCACTGGGATTGCTGCGGCTACGATAACTCCGTGAAGAGTCATCCACATCGTCACGATGACTGACGTTATCATGTTTCTCACTCGCATCATATGAATGCGAGTGCGATCGGTCCGGTCCCCGCGACGAGTACTCGGACTCGTCTGATGATCCAAACAAATCGTGGGGCAGAGCCTTTTCGAGACTGCCACGGGGCTTAACAGTCGTTGTGCCCGCACCCACAGCTTTACGACCGGGCTTCTCGGGCGATTCCGAGTCGGACGGGGGGTCCGAGTCGCCCAAATAGACAACCTCTATTTTGGATTCGACGTCAATGGGGGACTACCACCCGCAGCAGAAGCTGCGGATGAAGAAGCTACACGTGAATGACCACGAGTAACTGCAACAGCGGGTGTTGCAGGCTACTTATCAACAGCAGAAGGCGAAGTAAAGCCTACTGCCGATTCTTTGATCTCTCTCCGGCTGCACGCGTCCGTGCAGTTGCGGCTTTGCTCGCGCAGTGCATAGACGAACTCGTAAGCGCTGAAAGTTGGAGTGAGAACGTCAAAATCAACAAGTGCTTCCTTTCCCCAGAGCGACAAGACGGTGGTCACTATATTACCAATCAATCAAATCACTATCTAAAGTGACTGATGGTAAGGGGAGGTGATGTAACGAGGTAAGCCCGTTGCATAAAATGGATACGGATGTAACAATTTTTGCATATTATTTATTTAGATAATATTGAATAAACATTGCTCAAGAAGAGGTAATGTTGGCGGAATATTACCACCAAGGGTAATATTCTGGTGTGATCCACTTCTTGGTTGATGTAGAAGCTACATCAATTAAATTCAACACCAATCGCTGCTAGGCGCGCACAATGGGTCGTGAGAAAGAGACTTACATAGGAAATCGTACTTTAATATAGCTAGATGAAGACAAAGATGGTTTTTAGGAAATTTGACTATAGCAAATGCAGTTCTACTTTTTCCTTGAATAGAGCTTCCGAATTATGTTTACTTACTAGCGCTTCCTAGCGCTACACGAATGTGACGCCGGGAGTACGTATCCTTGTGTTCTATCAACACAAGGCCTTACCAATTATCTGAGAAGAGTTTGTCTCATTACACGGCGCGTGCCGCGGGAGGCAAACGCAGTGTGCGACTCGAAAGGGACGCAATCTCTCGGTATCCCGCGGTATAGGGAATGCCGACAGACGTCGACATCCTCGTGTCCACGGTATTTTTTTAAACGAAGTGCCTCTACACGCGCCGGCTCGTTTGCTGCGCGGGACAACCACTCCCACAAAGTGAAGTTTTCTAAGAACGTAATGTCGTCGAGATCCAGTAGCGGTATTTTATGTATAATAAGCACTAAGTCCCGATACCTCTGTCTCGTGGTACGCCTGTATACGTCTGCAATAGCTTGTGAAATGGGATCGGCCGGAAGAGCAGAGCAATTCTGTCAAAACGGTTGCGGTCATGGATTACGTCAAGATGGCACGCTAGGACTTCCTAAGTGAAACAGGCCTCGTAGCCATCCGGCTTCTATCCCTGAAAGCAGATGGAAGCGCGAAGCGACGCGCAGGTCAGACCAGCTATCCGGCCAAGAGTGCGCACAGTGTTTTGAATTCGGACGTGGTCGACAAACAATATCACGTGACTTTTTGAAATTGTCACCCGTGACTTCTGCAGCATCGAGGCAGCAGAATGGGGTGAAGAATATGGTAGAAGAAAGTTTGCATCATGGTAGAGGACTTAAGTGGTTTCTACACATCAGACATTATACGAGTGATGAGTAGCTCTATTAGACGATCTGTCCTTTCATTAACGAACGCAGTTGCTGGTCGATGATAGTCCAGCACAGCGACAAATGCGACACGTCCACGAGGGAACGACGGCGTACCTTCATGAAAAGCAGATGGTGTGTGCGTAAACAAGAAAAGGACAAGCGCATCATCGAGAGAACACGGAGTGGAAGTACGCCTAGCGCACGTGCAGTGTGTAGTGCCCTCGAGACCGTCCGCAAGTGTAGAATAGACGCTGCGCAATTGAGACGCCCCACAGGAACATCGAAAAATCGTGCGAGGAAGCCGTCTTGGTCGTGTGCAACAGCAAATCTGCGCCCTCTCAAGTATAGAGTGGTTCTGGCTAGTGCACGAATACGCACAACCCCACAAGGTATTCTACAGAGGGGACGCGTCAATCAACACGTGCGCGTGTAAAGGTCAGGCGATGCGAAGCAAACGACAGCTATGAGCCACCGAAAAGGGTACATGTAATCACTCGCTCGTGTCGGTCGCAAGACGGGGAAAAGGCATACGACGATCAAACGAAAACGGCAGAAGCCGTCCCACGAGCAGATGGCGGTGGCACATCGCACAACTTGACGGCCCGAGTTCGCACATCGCAGCTCCCAATCAGGAGTAGAAGCCAGTGCGCGAACTGAACACTGTCCCACCTTCGATTCTGCACGCAAGCGCTCTGTGACTCACCTATAGCAGAAGAGGTCCTCAAGCTTTTTATGATGCGAGCCGCTCGCTTCCTTCTTGTCCTGAGTGTCTTCTCGGCGAGCGCTTTCGACTCCGTATCGGCGGTAAGCGACTTGGAAGTCGTTCAGCACTTAAGGACTGATGGCCAGACGACCCGTCATCTCGAAACCGTTCATTTGGACGACAAAGAGCTAGGCACGGAGGAGGAGGGGGTGCTGGAATCGAGCAGCGACGAGGAGAGAGGACGATTTGAGTCCATGGGCAACTGGGTGCGCACGCATTTGCGCTGGAAATCCAAGAGCGCAAAGGCGTCTGAAGAAGCGGCGGGAGGTGCACTGAACCGGGCGAAAAGCATGAATCGGAACGCGGAGGTTTACGCTAAAGTGACGGATACTTCCAACGACGTGTATGCCGTATCAGTGGCTGCGCTCATCGTGATCGGTATGGTGGTGACCTATGTCTCACTTAAGACTGAAGAAGCACCAGTAAGCGCAGGTTCAAGCTGAGCACGCGTGCTCAAAGGAATCCTCGTGCTCAACAGGTTGACACATATGCAGCTTAGAGCTTTTGTAGCGAGGTTGGTGACGTTACGGTGCAGCTGGTTGCGTTAAGCATTAGGATTTTGGTTTGGCGGCCTGCAAAGCATGTGCTCCGGTGTTTCGACTTGCACTTTCGGGAGGGGCAGTGAAGAGACAAACTGTAACACTACATGAAAACACGTTTGCCGATGACATCAACTTTTCGTACCTCCACTCGTGGTCGTGATGACGCAGGCAGCTATTCTGTAAGCACTGTACGTCCTGCCGCGTTTCTATGTATTGAAAGCTCATACAGATTGCTCTGCTTCGCGAATTCCTACCAAGTTGAGAACTACATGACCTTGCATCACGACATGCACACTGCAGGTCGCACATCACCTCAAATGGCTGACCCGCAAACATTCGCTTGTGACAATAACTCTCAAGTGGTTCAAGTTCATTGTAGCGAAGTGAAACTAACATACCCGCAGGTCCACAGCGCATGTCAAGTTTAAAATAGACAACCTGTGGTTGATCAAGAGAGTACGGTAGTACTTACAAAGCGATGCACGAAAACGTCCGAAGCGAACAATGGTCTGTTGCATTTGCAGAATGATAATCGACATCCAACACGTTAGTAGATATGATCCAAGTTGCTCCATACGCTCGTCAAGAGCCACCCTCGCGCGGACAAACCAGTTGTCCAAGCCATTCCACTCTATCGGCAAAGTGATCACGATCACACATCAAGTGCCGGTCACTGACAACCCATGTGATCATGACAGCTTGTCGCTTTGCATCTCCACGACAGCACGCAGTTCATCTTTGTACCAGTTCATCGGAGTCGTGGCAGCAGCGTTGGTTACCAATGTCCGTCACAAATTTTGGCGATGAAGTAGACTATGTAGCTGTTGCACAATCCGCGTCATGCCGGCACAAAATAGCCTCATAACAGGCCAACGGTACGAATGAAGGTGTTGTAGCATCTTCTTCGAGACGCGACATCTCGCGCTGCCATGTAAACCAACGAGTACAACAGATCAGTTGCCCCTTGATCGTCTTCTTTGGCCCACCATGCAACACACGCATTTCACAATGTCATGGCAGGATGGAACGATGACCTCTATTTTCAGATACGAAGACGTAATGCACAAGATTCGTGTCAAACGAACCACTTACCCCCCTCAAGTCGAGGGGATGCCAGGTTGGGTGGATCAAACAACCCGTTGCGGCCAGCTTCCAAATCTTCGCCGCAGTCCATCTGTACATGAGTGATTCCACATACCGAGTTACATCCCGACTAGCTGAGCAAGCACATATCATGGTGGCACCCACGCATGCGTAGAAAGACATCCACTGGCACGTACACTCCTAGAAGTGCCCCGAGATGGGCTGTAGACGGCACTCTGATGAGGGCTCTGCAAAGCGCCTGAAGCCGAACCCTCCGATGCGGAATCGTAAGCATGGTCTTCGCACGACTCGACGAGATCTGCAGCGACTATTGCTGCTAACTCCTGCAGCTCTCGCTTTGACTCTTCAATAGTCAATTGCAGAGCACGCAAATCTTTTCGTTTCATAGTCCGATCAGATGGTTGCGATAACCCATTTGTAGGTCCACTAGCACACATGGCATCCTTCGCGCGCTGGTGTCGTCGCACAGCGGCCACAACGAGGAGCAAGTAGCGCTCAATATCTCGCATCAGCACCAGACTGCCAAGTCCAGTCGATACGAAAGCAGGAATGCCAACTCGTCCAGCCGGATCGATTCGATCTGGAATCGCCCGTTGCTCGCCTTCTGAAATAAGTGCCTCGATCATACTCGATAGATCCTCTTGCGACGCGCGGATGCTGAGCTTCAGCGCGTCCAGTTCTTGTACCATCTCTGCAAAATCGACACCGTGCGGACCGACACTGTGCGTCGGTTGCGCGCGGCCCGTTCTCCTTCCACCTGCTCGTTCGTGTGCGCGTTGTCGGCGATCCACTGCGGCCGTCGACCGCAGCAGGTGCACGTCAATGTCCTGCAGCAGCTGCGCTCGCCATCCGCGAGCTTTGAGCGACTGTTCATACTCTGTCCACTCGGTCTCTTGCCCACATACTGCAGCACAAGTGTCGGCAGTCTCTGCTCTCCTCTGCACCACCGGACCTGCTCGAAGCTTCGGCGGCGGCTGCTGCTCGTCCACGGGCTCTTTCACAGCTGCTGCGACTTCAGCAACTGCGACTTCAGCTGCTGCGGCTTCACCTGTCCGCTCCTTCCGCAACTCCACCGGCACAAAAGGCACTGACCGCTTTCGTGAATTTGGCTCAATTGGGTTCAAGTCCGCCAACGTCCCGACGGCCGTCGAGAGCTTTTTCCGGCGCTTCCACTTGCGCTGCGACCGGTCGCCCAACGGCTTTCGCGCGTCTGTCGTCGGTTTACTGACGTCCGCGAGCCGTTTGCTCTCTGACGGCGCTGTGCGCATCGGCACTTCGTCCGGCAGCAGAAACGCGAGTCCCCCCTCTCGAAGAATAAACGCATACAATTCGCCTTCGCCAACGAAAAAGTCGCGCTGCTGGCGACTGGCGTAGCCGCTGGTTTCGGCTTTTTGCAAAACCCCCGGTAAGTAATACAAATTTTGCTGTTGCAAGCCATGCGGCTCGACAATGGCCCAGCCGCGGGCTTTGATGATTTTGACAACTTCTTTGCCGCTGATGCCGATGCGAGCGAGCAACTCGCGCGGCGATCGCGTCTCGCGGGACATGGCGACATGCCCCTGGACGCTGCTGCGTCTCGTGGCGAGCGACTTGGCTGCTGCCGCCGCGGCCGCGAGAGACGCCATGTAGTCTCTAGTAGAGGTTTTGTCCGTCCAGCAGAGTGTGTATCCATAAAAGTGATGAAAGTTTGAGGGGCAAAATTCATAGTACGAGAAAAATTTCGGGATAGGGATTTATACCGTAGTATTCGTTTTTGATCGGCGACAATTTTGACCGTTTTTACGTCCGTGGACGTCGGATGTGGTCGCAAAGGTGGCAGCAATTTGCAATGAGGTGGCAGCGACTACTGCCAGCGGTACAAGCGGATGCTTTGTCTCGATCGTGTGTACGGTACAAGCGCACGAGTGCCAAATGTGCGCGTGCAAGTGCTAATGCTGCGGCTATTGGCTCCGGTACGTTTTTGACCACTCGAACGGATCGTTAATGTTTTGTCGAAAATGATGTTATCAAGTGTTGATTATTGACCAGAATGGTGTCGAATGTTTTGGATTGTTGTGGGGTTTTCTTGTGATTGTGATTGTAATTTTTATATTATGATGATCCGATCATTTGTTACAAAGCAGACCGTCACATGGCGTTGACAATGGCGATTCGGCAGATTGAGAGCAGCTTTGGTAAGGGCGCCGTGATGCAATTGGGATCGACGTAAGTGATTGAATCATATGAAGACGTATTTTGGATCAGTTGGAAAGAAACAACAGCTGATGGTTTTTTGGTCTCTGTCACTACTGCTATGCTGATGTAGGAAAATCGCAGAGCGCGTCGACGTGATTTCGTCGGGCTCCTTATCGCTCGACGTGGCTCTGGGTATTGGTGGAATACCGAGAGGGTGCGTGTCGTGTATCGCGGTATGCATTGTGGATTATGGACTGTATATTTGACCTCATTGTTTGTGCCTCCTGCTAGACGAGTGGTGGAGATTTACGGCCCTGAAAGCTCGGGCAAAACCACATTGGCACTGAGCTGTATTGCTCAAGCCCAAAAGACAGAGGGCGGTGTGTGTGCCTTTATTGACGCAGAGCACGCGATTGACGCGCACTACGCCAAGGCGTTGGGTGTTGATATCGACGCTCTATACGTCTCGCAGCCTGATTCTGGAGAAGAAGCGCTGGAGATTGCTGACACGCTCATCAGATCTGGGGCAGTGGACCTTGTTGTGCTGGACAGTGTCGCGGCGCTCGTGCCCCGAGCGGAGCTGGAAGGCGAGATGGGGGACCAGCAAATTGCTCTGCAGGCACGCCTGATGAGTCAAGCTTTGCGTAAGCTGACGGGTTCGCTGTCCAAGTCCAATTGCACCATCATATTTTTGAACCAGATTCGGCAAAAGGTGGGTGTCATCTTTGGGTCACCCGAGGTAACGTCGGGTGGAACGGCGTTGCGCTACTACGCTTCAGTACGGCTGGATATCCGCCGCAAGACGGCGATCAAAGAGGGCGATCAGGTCGTCGGCAATGAGACGGTGGTCAAGGTGGCGAAAAACAAACTTGCGTCGCCTTTCAAGGTCGCTAACTTTGACATGATGTTTGGACACGGCATTGATCGCCAGTCGGAGCTGGTAAGATCAAAGTTGTCGTTGCCGATTGATGTGAAAGGGACTGATGAGCAATTGTATGCTTAGCTTGACTTGGGCGTTCAGCATGGCCTGTTGAAGCGCTCGGGTGCGTGGTACAGCGTCGCGGGGAGTGCCGGTGAGGTTTGATGGCAATGTTTGACCCTTTTTGGTGCTACTGCTGATACCGTCTGAATCTCACTCGTTTGCAGAACCGATTGCCCAGGGCAAAGCCAAAGCCAAAATGTACTTGCAGGAACACCCAGAGATCGCGAAAGACCTGGAAGCAAAGTTGCGTCACATGATTTTTGAGCCGAGTGGAGCTGAGGAAGAGGTCGGAGACGCTGGCGTCGGACTGGACCTCGATGTGGATGACAAGAACGAGTCTTCTGTCTCCCGCATTGAGGAAGAGGTCGGAGACGCTGGCGTCGGACTGGACCTCGATGTGGATGACAAGAACGAGTCTTCTGTCTCCCGCATTGAGGAAGCTGACATCGGCGACAGTGACAGCAGCAGTGACGATGCAAGAAACATGTGAGAACGTATCAGCTGTCACGGCACTTTATTTTGCGATGCTGGAAACCTCGGCGTCCATAAACTGCTTGCTTGCGTATCTCTACCTCGACTACGTTACCCATTGTCTGAAGGCCGGCGGGCACGCAATGCTTCCCGGCATGCACGATGTCGACATGTCAGCGACGTAGAATGTTCACTCACCTGCAATCCAGTGACCAAAGCTCTAAATAGGTAGCCCACAGATACAGACTAGACCGCCTAGAATGCCATGTTGAACGACGTCGGCGGGAGAACATTCGCCACTTGACACCGCTCAGCCTTCGAGTAGCGTTTTTTTATCACCGCCAGGTTGTTTGACGGTGAGTTGGAGTACAACGTCTGGAGCTCGCCCATGCACCCCTTGAGACCCGACCAATTGTACTGGCAAGCGTCCACTAGCTCCTTCGTCTAAACGCAAAACCCACAAAACGGTTGGCACTAATCAAGTAAGATATGCCTAGCAGACAACGCACCATCGGGAACCCATCCACGGTGTACATTGCCATCGAAAGGCAGCATGTAGCTACCACAGACGGCAAATACTTCAAAAACTGGTACTCTTGTAATGCCAGCTCAAGCAAGTAGTGCGCCAGCATGGACGTCTTTTTCTGGATGGGCGGGATCATGCGCTCGTATATATTCAAAAAGTCCAAAGCTAAGCACACAAACAAGCAGTAAGACCAATGACGCCGATATACATTCGGCAATCGTGTTCGACACGTACCGGTGGGCACCGAGAGCGTAAAGTTGAGCGTATTCAACAACTTCTCTTCCATTTCCAACACTTCCACGGATGTATACACGTTATCGGCGCACATCGCGAGATCTTCCACCCCAATATAGGAAACGTCCTCGCATTTAGAAGCGACGTGCAAACAAGTCGCCCCGAGTAATTGAAACTGCGTCTTTTTCACCATTACGATATCCAAGTACCGGTCGGTGTAATTGACTGCCAAGAACGCGGTTCGTAGGCACATTTCAAACACGTCCACCACTAGTGCGGCACACACAAAATCATAAACGGATGTTAGCTCGCTTTGCGCGCGCGCATGACGACGCAACCATAACGCACCTTCGATCAGCCAATCGACAAGCATCGACCGGTGTGCCGGCCGAAGTGTTTTCTGTCGGCTACACATCGTTACGTCAATGTTAGAACATGGAGTAGCACTCGCTTGTTTAGACAACCACTCATGCCTTTCGTACCTCAAATACTTAATTTCTTTCCACGACTCTAGCTCTGTCTGACGCAAGTAAGCATGGAACAAATCCACGTGCTCTGGAGTAGAGCCAATCCGGGCTCGACTCATTGTGTAGCACATTTGGTCCATTGGAATCTTTGGCGTGAGCGGCAGAAACGCAAAAGCCTCGTTTGAGAAGTATGGGTGGCGAAGCGCGTCTTCGGCTGTAATTCTTTGGTCGGGGTTGTACACGAGAAGCTTAGTCAGCAGATCGATGCCAAGATCCGAGATCCTTGGAAATAAACGATTCAGGGGTCGACGCTTCCAGTGAGGAAACTCAAAGTGATAGTTGGGCAACGATGAAAAGCCTGGCCACGTCTCAGACGTTGGCGTTGACAGCTTGCTGAAAATTTGAAACAGCTGGTCAATTTCGGAGATGCCCGTGAACAGCGGCTTGCCCTGGGCCATCTCAGCAAAAATGCAGCCCACAGACCATATGTCGACCGCAGAGGAATAGCCGCGCACCCCCATTAGTATCTCTGGAGGACGGTACCACAACGTTACTACCTCCATCGTGTACGTTCGCCGAGGAATCCCCGTTGCTCTCACCAGTGCAAAGTCAGAGATTTGGAGCGTAGCGTCACCTACAAGCAAACATCACGATACAAATGCATTAGTTCGAGTACACGCATGAGGCTCAGTCATGGCAACGTACTGAGTGTCTCCGTGTCAGGCGCATTGATCAACAAATGTTTAGGTTTCAAATTACGGTGTAACACTCCGCGGCGATGGCAGTACGCGATTGCATCCAGGAGTTGGTGAAGCAGCTTGCGAATCTGTTCCAATTATACGACAAATGTAAGGAGAATGTTTGCTTGGCTCGTGCAGACAACAACCTTGGTTTCGTACCACAGTCTCCGACAATACGCGGCCACCGGACGGGTCCCCTGTTGGATTGATGACTTCGTGCAGCGTCTTGTCCACGTAAGGAAAAAACACATGGAGTTCGTCTTTAGCGAGACTTATCAGCTCGAGGGACGCAATGTGATCGTGCTTGATCCCTTTCAGGACAGCTAGCTCTCTGAGCATATAATACGGGACTCCTTCTCCCTATTTCATGCGAGCAAGCACAAGCCAATGTCAGTGCACTCTATCATACAAAACGTGAGATATTCCGCGCCAGGGTCTACCTTGGGAAAAACTCGAGCCTTTTTCATAGCCAGGATTTTTCCAGTCGAGCGCTGGCAGCATTTGATGCAAGTGCCTTCGGTCCCCTTGTTCTTGATGCCCAAGTTCTTGAAATTGATCCAGTTGACTGACCCTTCCTGTGTCACACTCGGCAGCGAACGATACAACGACCGCCGACTCGTCAGCTCTTTCCACTTCTTCGACACTTGCGACATGTTCTGCAGGTCTTTTGCCGTCACCAAGAAGGCAAACACGTGCAAGATAATGTCGGTCGGCTGCAAGTCAAAGTGCTCCGACGGCGTCAGCGCCGCTTCGACCTCGTTCATTTTCACCAGCGGCAGTCGTCCACTGCCGTCGTAGTCCTCCTCGTCGTGCGCAGCCGGTGAGGCAATCAGGATCTCCCGCCGCACGACTTTACTCGCGCGGTGCTCGACCGCCCGTTCTGACGGGTCGATCGAGAACCCCTCGTCCCCCACTTCTTGGCTGTGAATGTGTTCTCGCGCGTACGCCACAAACTCCGACAGCACAGTCGCTGCCCTCTTGTCCTCCCGTTTGCGCTTCCCAACTGCCGACACAAACACAACAGTACCACACACAACAGTACCACACAACAACAACAATAACAATTACAACCCACACAGTCAGTGCTCCGTGCACGACCCTATCCCCCGTTTTCACCCACAATAAAAAAGATCCATGGGCCACTTCGTACTTAACGAGACTGCCCCACCTCCCAGCGCCGCGCTCGCTCTGGTCGGTGTCGGGTCCGACACGGGACCTGCGACGTCGCACACATCTGCTGCCCCACTGCAGCGCCGCACTGCCTCTTGCGCAGCAGCGACCGCGCGGTCTGTTTTCTGTTCCTCGTCGGCCCACAGCCCCACAGGCGCCGCACGTCGCTCCCTTCGCGGCGGCACTCCGACGGCCGCAGTCGCCTCAAAAGGGGCGCGCGGCGTCCCGCCCAACGCCGCCAGCAATGGATTCTTCGGCTCAGTGGGCCTCACGAGCGGCCACTCGGTGCCCTCAACTGGCTCGCGGTCCGTTGGGGCCATTGCTGAAGTAACGCTATGCAAAACCGGGCGTTGACTGGCGCCAGTGCTGCTGCTGCTGCTGCTGGTCGAAGTAGCAGTCGTAGCAGTCGTAGCAGTCGTCGTTGAGGCCCGACGTTTCTTTACTGGCGTCGCGTCTGACACGTCGGGGGCGGCAGACGGGGCAGCGTCCATGAGCTTTTGCGTCTCGAGGCCGTGTGGCGGATCCGTCCAGAGTCGAAGTATAACTATCGAGAGAGAGGGAGAACACGTGATGGTCAGGTCCGTACCGTTTGGTGTATGACACATGAGAGTGTGAGAGAGAGAGAACTCGACCTGCTGCCTGCGTCGTCGACAGGGCACCGCTGGCGCAGGTAAAGAGAAGACGGCCAACCGGAAGCGGTGGCCACTGTTCGCTCTCGTAGGCGGTCGGGCGAGCGCAAGATCTTCTTTCAATCGCCCCACTTCCGCTTCGTCTTTGCCTCTGGGCGTTGTTTTCTTTCCCTTTCTGTCGGTCTTTCGTCGTTTTCTTTCCTTTTCGTGCGGTCAAAGGGGTTTTCGTTTCCTTTCGTCGGGTGGCGGACGAGCAGAACGAGGAGCTACTCACTCGGTCGCTCTCCCTCGGGTCGTTTCACGACCTTTTCATTGGCGCAGCGACCCGAAACTGCGCTGCGATTGGCTTGGACGAGACTCCCCACACAACGGGTCGTCGCGTTGTGGTCGCAAAATGGTGAAACAAACGGGCGGGATGGGTGACGGCTGACTACAATCACGCATGCCATCTATCGACCTGGCTCGACCCGACATGGCCCATGGCTCGACTTACAGAACCGTCGTAAGTGGGTTGCGAGTGAGAACTTCGTTCTGCTTGAATGTCATATGTGACGTCGGGTCGGCTGAGACGGAAGACACAGGTTGTGTGCCCGGCCGTACTCGAAGGATAAACAGCTTTTTATGATACGGAGTCATGTCGAGACATCATCGGTGCAAAAGGTGTGTAGACTCCTTGTTCTCCTTCTTGGTGAACAGAAGCGATAATGTGTCGAAAAGCCGGTGAAAGTTCGTAAACCTGGTGGACTGCGCTTAGATGATGAGCAAATGTTACGCATTGACGATGCACGCACTAGCCGCATGATCATTGTTATAGGTGCTAGGGGGACCCAAAAAACATCAATACGTAACGAGAATTCGCTACTCCGTGGACCCCTTGGCACTTGTGATTTGTTGTAAACTAGCACAATGAATGATCAATGGTATCGCCCGGCTGGATGATGACAATTTTGCGAACAATTTCGGCACAACATAGCCGGACCCCAGCGGTCTGCGAGTCCAGTATTCCTACTTTAAGGACAAGAGTTTTCTGCAAGTGAGGATGCAGCCATTGATTGGCAACACCAACATATACACTGCATTCGTAATGAATTAGCTGGTACGTACTCATCAAAGTTCGAAATCTTGTCAAACATGTCTCGATGTCGACCAAGCTTGACGCCGATTGCCTGCAGCCCGCCGCATTTACCAACGTTATACTACCTTGGGTGTCTAATGGATAATGTTTGCACCGATGAGTTCCAAAACTAAGAAACAAAAAGTGCGATTGTGATGCAACACGCACGAATGCGCGACAGCTTGCGGCAAAACTGCCTCGAATGTACAAACGCTGCATACGAATGCGTACCATGTGGTGTAGTGGCTTGTTAAGAGCTCTAGTATTGGCATAGAAAGGCATCGGGACACTCTTGCTCAAGGGAATTGTACCTAATAAAAATTCGATTCTGTCTCAATTGATTCTTTCTCATAACTATCCCGAGTTTTCGCTCAAGATCAAGTCAAGCTGCAGCGTGTGTATCCAGCGTGGCAAAGTGTGATTCTGTGGTATATTGACCACTCTTTCTGGGCGTACAATCATTCGCATGCATCACCCTAATGCATGCTGCGGCATGTACTCGCTGCTAAATGTGCCGCTCCTTATCTTCCCTTAATTTCATCACGTCGAAATCGTACAAATTCTTATAATAATAGCTAACGACTCAATACAATATCAAAATCATACGTTTATAATGTGACCAAGTCGCTTTGCTAAAGTCCTATCCAATATCGTCGACTTAGATTGCGTAGTAATCCAAGTCGACGATATTGGATGGAATTCAATAAAAGCGACTTGGTCTGCCGCAAAAATCATGACGCATTCATCAGGGAGTAGCCGGTAGATGACAAGCTAATGATCACTACATAGTAATGTAGTGCATTCTGTGCTCATGGCGCAAAAATGCCAAACAGTAAACTAGGTAAGCTATACAATGACGGTGGCGTATTACGACAAAGTATGTAATCAGACTGCTGTTAAAAAATTAAACAGAAACGTCACGCGACATTGAATCCTGCCTCAGTCGTTTAGCCTTTCGTCGTAAGCCACCCGATACTACTACACGTTAGTGAGTGATGTTGCGGCGACATGTGGAGAATGTATATTGCATATTAGCACTAAATGTATTGTTCTTTGGCGAGTTATATTTTGGGATGTCAGCAAAATCGACGGAGCAACCGATTGGCTTAGTCGTTTCGGAAGGAAGATTCCATGCGGGTGGGTGCGGGTTCGAGTCCCACGATGCGCAAGTTAAGTTTGACTAACACTTACGACTTGGTGTTTAAGGCTCACCAGAACTGGGGCTCATCCTCAGTTACGCCCACCACGACCACGCAATCGTTTTCATTCTGCAAATGACAAAGCAGAGTTTTATAAAAGTATATTACGAGACGTAAGTACCCAGTGGTAGGTAAACCTGTAAGCGGTAGAGACAGAGCACTAAATAGGTGGCTGAGAGCCACCGGTTTCTACGAGCAATTCGTTTTAAAGATAGGAACAATTTGAATACAATTCACTTTTTCGTTCTCATCCCCGGCCGTAAGCCGTCTTCATCATAGTGAAAGATCCATTACCTGGCTAAACTTTGTCACTACATTTGTTCAAGACCGATTTCCGGTTCAAGCGAGGCCGATAAAACTCTCGTATGTATTGTGTATTATTCGTTTTTTAGGGTCGATAAATGTTCTACCCGTTACATCCTTCATTTAAGCTATTTATACACATAATATAAAAGATGCCAAGTATATCATGTTCCGTCGAGGAGTTATGCAAATCTTATCTTGCTCCCTCAGTTGCTGCAGAATTATCGTGATGTGGCTCTCTCATTTGCATATGCTGACCAAACAATTCGAATGCATGTATATCCACTTAGCCTCGGCTGACAGAATTATGGACAATCTTCACTACCGTGTTCATCCTCAGCTTTACTGCAAGCTCACATATGGTTTTGCTTTGTATGACCGCGATCTCCCCGGCATACGCATGCGAGTATATACTTAGTTAAGAACTAATGAAATGCTCGAAACTACGTCGGCTTATTTCAAGGTATGGGCTGGATAGGTGATTTTGAAGGATTAAGAAATGTATGTGACCTTTAAATTGGTTCAGATTTTTGCAAAACAAAATACTATAAGAGGACGATGCAAATTTAAATTACCCTCGAAAGTAAGATATGCAGCCTGTGACACAAGGCCTTGCATTCGACAATTTGTGTCATTAATGATGCCATTAAATCCATATATCAATGACAGACGCGGGTAAGGTGACGTAAGCAGATTAACGACCCACTAATTCGTAATGTGACATCATTGTAGTAGGTTTTTTACAGATATAAATATCTTAATGCATAATCTAAAGCTTTCCCTTTAAGAAGGGTAATCCAGTTCAGATCTTCAATCAATTTAGACATAGGATATTTTACTCTAATGTTTACAAATCATTCTCATTAGACAGTTTGTTTGTCGTAGCTATTAAATTACTCGATGTTGCCGTATTTGTCGGAATGGCAGCAAATTTATTGTCCATATTAAATAAAAGAAAAATAAGAAAAATAGTGACAAGTGGTGTATGGTCTTGTAGAGGCGACAACAGTAAAGATCAAGACGAAGTGAAAACGCCATATCAGAGTTGGCCTATGAGACAATGAACGTAAATGAGCTCCATGTGCTTCCTGGCGGATAAGGTCTGATATGATCAATCAAATCGTTCCAATGTAGTGTCATGAAAACGTTTTCGCATGCTTATTTTTCCATAAATTTCTTTCTATTGTCGATAAGTCATCCAACCAATCGTATGTGATGTTCAAACATTATCACTTATCCGGTTTTTTTCAGAATTCTTCGGCGATGGTTTACAACTACACATCATTCTGTCTAAACTTTAACATATATTTTGTAACGGCAAATTCTGCCTACTCAATCATTTCCGTATCGTGCAGAATATCAAAGTGCAAAGAGACGATGCCTGTGTTGCAATGCAGATCGTACGACGCCTTCGCTTACATCAAGCATTAACCATGGAATCGTCCGTCCTCTCATTATTTTGCCTATACTTTTTCCCATTCAGTATGATATTTTAACTAATAGACTATGCCCGATACAGACCATACATTTACAAAATATTAAACCGCTAGAAATTACTGTTGCTCACGAATATATGACCTGCTAGGAGGTATGTAGCAGGAGGTTAACAACACTTTGCAATCTACTTAAGGCCTGGCACGCAGAAAGAGATGATAAATGTATCGACTGTATGTTCTCGCAAGCTCTTTGATAGCTTCTTCATTAAATCAATCGGTTACCTGCATTCCTCATTTTTGGCAGTTGATGCAGCTCAATATATATTAAATAATTGATACCACGATAATTTTAACATACCCACCAAATAATGATAGCCATTGCGCATAATAAGTGGTTTATGCAGAATTTTATATGCACAACAGTTATTAAGTAGGAGTCGTAAAAAAGTGCTACACAAACTTCAACCTTCCGTGTTGCCTAGACGTGCCAATTACCGGAAGTTGTACACAAACAACAGGTGAAATTAAACCTTCCTCGTGTTTTGTACCCGCTGTGAGGGCAATGCTGTTCTCTTTTTTAAGTTTGAGTTCATTTAATTGAAAATTGCTAGGGATTGGAGGTCGTCGTGCGAATATTCTCACACGATTGCGTGTTCTTAATGGATGCCTCCCTCGAGTCGCCATGATCTGTATCGGATAATCTCGTTTGAAAACGGTAACACCTTATTTACCTAACTTCGAATAATCCAGCCATATCGCAATCGTATGGCTTTAACAATGAGGGTTGCGAGCACCCGATCCCGGTTAAAT